GGGGGGGGGGCATGTGTATTACGACGGATCTGTCTTTATCACCCCAATCCTCTGTTCTATTTGTAGATGCCTGGCAGAGAGATTGAACTAGAAAATGACCAGCAGTCATTACAGTTTTATTCTGTGGAAAGTGGAGATTGTCTATTGGTGCGATGGTAACAGTGAACTAAGAAAGTTCGGGGACTGCACTGTTTATCATGACTTGGGGGAGGGGGGGCGGCGCACCGGAAATAAAGGATTTATTGGAACAGTTCTGTCAGAAAAAGAGAGGTTGTACACCTTGCCCTAAGTATAGAAAAGGTGGTATTTTTCATCAGGAAGAGACCATTTCTAGGCTTCTATATAACAGCAGTAATAAAGGCTTTGCACCTACTAATGATTTTCTGATTTTCATATTTATAGTCCGTGACTATACATTTCAATATGTGGAGATTTAAATATTAAATAGAACCTAGCTAGTCCATTATAATGAAATCTGAACATAGTTAATGTCGGTCATAGGACCGGTTTTAATGGAACTCTATGGATACTACTAGTTTAAAAGGTTTCCAAAATGATTTGGATAGTCATTTTGGGAAATGTCCCTTAAACTTAGGGAGGCACCTCTTCTATGTATAACGTGTGCTAGGATCTCTTCCCTCCATCACAGTTTTTAGAGTACTTACTTACAAAAATTCATTATGCGCTTTTCCCTACAGTTGTACCTAAGCGGGGCATTTATTCTTCTACAGAAGATTTCCATCTCTGATCAGAATTCAGTTAGATTAGGTAAACATTACGCAATGACAGGAGAAAAAAAATTCATTCTTTCAAAGTGCCCACTTATTTAGCTGGGCTACGTCCCTACGTCACTAAAACCCTGAGAGGTATTTGATTTACAGCCACAGAATTTTAGCTTTTTTTTAAATAGTACTAGACTGTGACCTTCAGGATTTATGTTAAATGGCAAAAGAAAACTGGAATTAGCTCACTTAATAAGTGAACTTTAAAAACCAAGGTCCAGAACTGAGAATTATATGGGTTCCTGTTCCAGTTGCCCACTTCAGACATTTCCATTCCCAAACTTTGGTATAAGTGACCACACAGCGTTCTGTGAATTGTTTTTGGCCCTTAATTAATTACCCTAATTATGCCTTACAGGGCCATTCTGTAATCCAGGTTGGAATTCACATTCTTGGTTACTAAGATTTCTGAACGAGGCCAATTTTAACCAAAAGTGATTGATAGGTAATGAATTATAAACTAGAAATGATACATCAGGTTTTAGAAATGTTTTTTGTTTTATAAAACAACTTGGTGTTTTTCAAAGTCTTCCAATATAGAAATAAAATTTTTGTTATGTACAGGATCAGCTGATATTTAAAAAGGAAATTCTGTGCAAACATTTAGAAAGATCGCGTTGGTTACAGGTAAACTCTCCTGGGCGAGCAGGCGGGCTCTTGGGGGCCTTCGGCTCAGCCCGCGCTCCCGCTCGCCCTGCCCCCTTCCGCCTGCTCCTGCAGCGCCGCCGGTTAAAGCCCTCCCGCGGCCGCCTCGCACTGACAAGGGTCCCCGCACCGCTCCTTCAGCTGCCACAGCTGCGTCAGTTCCTGCGGCGAGTACTGCGGGGAGGACAGCATGCCCGGCTCACACGTCTTCTCACACAGCCACAGGCCGTCCTGGCGACAAACCACACAGAAGTGACTCGGGAGCCGAGGGGCTGAGCCCGCGGGTTGCGGGGGAGGCGCGCGCGTGTGCGTGTGAGACCCAGCCGCGCGGCGGGGAGGGCGGCAGGCAGCAGAGGGACTTCTGTGACCACAAAGCCCAGGCAGCGCACACGGAGCTCCCTGCGGCTGTCCCCGCGGAGTCGTCCGACGTTCTGGGGGCCGTACCGAGTATTTATTAGCTAATTCTCCGGAAACCCTGCGAGGGAGGACCCCTTTCCTTTTCCCAGTCGACAAGCCGAGAGTGAAGTGCCCTGCCCAAGGTCACAGTGAAGTTCCTAAAGGGAAGCCGATGCGGGTGAGGTGAACGCGAGGGACCAAAACGGACTCAGCCTGAGTCTTGAGCACCAGCCTCCTTCCAAGACACCGAACACAGAGCCAGCGAAGCCCACTCGGTCTGAGAACATAAAGATGCTGCGTACAACCAAACGCGCCTTGTTCAAGCAGGGCTGAGCCGGTGGCAAAGGGGCCGGGGTCAGCACGTGCCCTGAAGGCTCCGAGGGTTTGAAAAGGCCACGTCCAGGGACAGGAGACACAATAGCCAGGGCCCATGAGGTGCCAGACCTGGGGGGGAGGGAGGGAGGGGGAGTGGGTGTGCACGCGGGTGTGTGTAATTCAGAAAACAGAACCTGCGTCTCAGCCTTGACCCTGGGTGGGACGGAAAGGGGTCTGCCCTGAGCATCTGGAAGCCCAGCCTGCACTTAGCTGGGTCTTGGCAGGAGTCACGTTCACCAACAATGCAGTCAGACATGGTAATGCCCTTCAGTGCAAGGCAGACACAACATAAATCCTCTTCGCAAGAATGCATTTTAAATACCTTCATTTCCCAGGAACATGAGGTCACACACACAAGTCTCTAAACACATCAGGAAACAGCTCCATGAGCAACAGTCTGCAGACACATCAGCCTACACAGACCCACAAACAACGCAGCTATCACCACGATCAGACACAGAAAATTATCTTCAGTGTTCAACAAGTCAAAGCTGGGACTTCAATAGGACACAGGACTGTCACAACTGACCCAGTAGATGTGGGTTTACTCCCGTTCACCCCTGAAGTGAGGGGGCCCTGCATGTTCCTCTGCCCCCTGCACCTTCTGTGGCCAAAGTGGAAGCTGCAAGAATCCAAAATTCAACAGAAAGCTTTGAGGCGAAGCTCAGCTTCGTGCCTGCTCTCTTCCCATTTCTGGGCTCTGCGGGTTCATTTCTTTCTTTCTCTGGCTCAGCGGTCAGTGTATTTTCAAAAACACCTTCCGGTATTTTAAATCCAGTGTTTTATTTGCATCAGTGAGAAGGGCTGAAGGGTCCTTGGACCATCACGCTGCTGGAAACTTCAGCCAGCTGACTCCTTAAGGTTTTTTTTTTTTTTTTTTTTTTTAAGTAATCTCTATGCCCAGCATGGGGCTCAAACTCATGACCCCCAGATCAAGAGCTGCACGCTCTACTGACTGAGCCAGCCAGGCGCCCCTGATTCCTTACATTTTAAAAGCTACGAAGAATTTCTAACCAAACGTGTAAAAACCTAATTCTTCTCTGTGGGTAGGAAAACTTCCATCCAAAACTTTTTTTTTTTTTTTTTTGGTTTAAACTCAGAGAAATATGAGAACCTAGGTGGATTATTGGGAATTAAATCAGGAGCATCACGAGCACAGTTCTGACGGCGGTGCCCAATGTCTCACTGCCTCGCAGTCCCTCCGAACCCCAGGCCTGGCTGCCCCGCAGGCTCACTTACCTGGTATCGAGTAGGTCCTATGGCTGCCATCCAGATGCCCATGCTTACGTCTTCACCCTGTACGCGCCCCGTGAGATTTAAACGCAGAAGTTTAAATGCTGTATCATCTCTAAACACGATGCCCCACATTCCCGTAATAAGTCATCTTTCCACTTCTTGGCTTTGTAATTATTCTACCAGGACACGCCAAGCCTGTATTAACACTTGTACACAGAGTAACAGCTAGTGGCCATTAACGGCCACCATGATGAAACGACGAGACACAAGACAGCGAGGGGCCAGTCAGCCCTTCTCGGGGGCCTCACGCCTCCGGCACCGGCCGTATGAACGATACAGTGGATCCAATCGCTAGGCGGGTTGTTTAGTGACACGGTCGCCAGAATCAACAAAAAAGAAAGCCCTTGCTTTATAGTCTTCCTTCTTGTGAATGCCAAGCTTTCCGTTCCTCCAGGGACTACACTTGTAAATGGAGTCTGAAAACCTAATAAGTAGACTCAAAGAAAGATTTAGGAATAGAATTTAGAGCCAGGATCTGGAGGCTAGGACTGTGTCCCTGATCTCTGAGGGTGACTCGTCTACAGAAGGAACAGCATGCCTTCCCCCGGGGTCGCCGGCTCTGTGCTCGGAGACACAATCCCGGGCTGGATGAGACTTGGTGTGAAGAGTACACCGTCAGGTCAGAAATCCGGAACTACCTGGTAGGTCTTGAGTCTGCCCGCGTTGCCGGCGAGCCAGTGGACGATGTCCCTGGAGATGACGTACCCCGAGCCGCAGGCAAAGGCCGGGTACGCGGGGCTGGGGTACTCCAGCTCCTGCCACTTGCCAGTCCGGTCCACGGCCCAATTCAGTCTGAAACTGAGAGTCAAAAACAGTTGGCTTCTTCGTGTTGGCGTGACAGCTGTCCTACCACTATTAAGGCAGACCCCTTTATGATCACTACGAAGGACCAAGCTGTAAAAGCAAGGAAAGAAGGAACTTTTTTTTTTTTTTTGTCTAAGGAACGGCATTCTTTATCTAGCGGGTATGTTATGTGAAAGACTGGGGCATCAACTTCTCTAAGTTACATTTGTGGAGTTTCTGAAAGTACCAGAGCATCGTGTGTACACACGCTAAAGATCATGAATCCATATTGGGTTCCTGAAGAAACAGCGCAATTTCAGAAACGTCACAACTGTCTTCTAACAAGATACCACGTACGGCAGCTCCTCACGTGCGTACTACTTATTTCTAGGCCACGACGACAAAAGCCACATCGTCGTCCCCTCTTTCATTACCTTAGCCTGAAGTTTTTCATTTTACAGGTTTCCCTCTAACTGTAGCTTGACAACGTCCAGTAACCAGGACCTGGGGGGCGGGGGGCGGAGGTTCCCTATCTGGGCCCCATTTTGCTTGTGTGTTTCATTCTAAATGAACTCCTTTTGATCAGGCACGTGAAGCCAAAGGGCTAACAAGGTTTAACTTACTTTCCCCACCAAAAATTAGGCCCGTCCAGATGCTTGTGGGCAATCCTATTGAACACAGCTTCCAAGTCTATGTAGCAGTCGTCATCGGTCTTTAGCAGTAAGTCAAAGCTGGTTGTTTCCACAGTCCTGTTGGCGAAAGGGACCACGACGGTCAGTGCGTCCACACAGGAACGGCAGCGACGCCGACGCAGTGACATCGCTACCATCTTACTGAAGAGCCGTCCCTGGACGGCCTGCACACTTGTTCAGGTTCTTCGTCCTCTGAGGTTGAGAACATGTGCTCAGAACACCGCTGCTACCGAATGTAATCCTCACTTGATAGTCATTAGGTGGCATAACACGGAGAAGCACCAAGCGGATTTTAAAGGTGCCAAAGAAAAAGAACACAGTAAAAAAGAGACCTGGCTGAAGTGGGACCTATGAGCAAACAAACGCTTCCGTGACGCTGTTCCCATCAGGCTGCCGAACATGCGAACCTTGTCACTGGGATTCTTAACAGGGCCCACGGTGCGGGGACAGGCGGGGGACAAGCATCCCCCGGGCTCTCCCCCGGAACCGTGCTGGGCAAGATGCTCTGTTCGGTGCCACGAGTTATACTCCACTCAGATATTTGATGGTTTTTAAAACACTGAGCTGTAACACAGACACGTATTTCCCCTCAGAAAGGATTCCCAGCAATTAAACTCTTATAAATGACCTTTTGGAAGGCCCAGGAGGGTGACTTCGTTTACCCAGACATATAAGGGGGAGTGGAGACAAAATGGACTTCTTCATTTCACACTGCCAGTCCCTGTCCACCTTTGATTAAAAAACAAAAAAAACCCAGAGTCTTGCTAGGGAATCAAATGACAGAGATCTGAATAAAAGAAATCTGGAGAGAACGTTTTTCGGTCAAAGAACGGTGAATTTAACAACAGGTCCACACCAAAGTGCACGACCCCGTGCTTCTAAAGTTCATTTCTAATTAACAGCACGGGAGCACATAATATTTGCTAATTAGGAGGGACTCTGTGATAAAGGACACTGCGGTCACTGAGGAATCACCTGGAGAGAGTGACTAAGGCAGCTTTCCTTACAGCATGGGCGGCGGACAGGTGGCACCAGAGGGGGAGCAGGTCCCCGAGCCCAGGGCCGTTAGCCCGTCACCAGTGACTCAGGTGGAGAGGGTGGCCCAAGACAGACCACGGCAGCGACAACTGAGAGCTCAGAGACGTGCAAGGAGTACAGGAGGGGAGGCTTAAACTGAAGCAAACAGATAAACTACACTGAACTTCCACAGCCGGGACTTAGCTCCCTAGAGAAAGTCCTAGAACACCACAACCCGATTTCCCCCTTCCTGGGCCTCCATCCCGCCCTTCACTGAACTCTTTCCGTTCTTGCCTGGGCCCCCTTACAACACGGACCCCTCTCAAGGGCCTTGAGCTAAAGAAGGTTCTTTTTTTCAGTACAGTTGTCCAGACATAACCCTGGTATTCTAGACACACCTCAATTTCCAACTCTTACTTCTATCTGCCCTCTAGCCACAGGGTGACTCCAAAATTATATTGACTTGCCCTAGCCGTGAAACATGACCTTCCATACACGAATCAGGACTATATCCATCCACTCTGCCCAGGGCAACAGAGAAGAGAGAGGGACTTAGGGGCTCACCAAGAAACAAGCTCCCTGATCCAGTTTTAAAAGACACAGATGTGGAAATACTCTAGGTTTAGGCTAGACAGAGATAGTTTGGGCTAGTTCGAGGGTGGACAGCGTCACAGGGCTCGAGAGCAAGTAAGCGGACCCTGGAGGAACTAATCATATTAACTGTATATATAAACAATAGCAGTTATGATTGTTGCTGCCATTAATAGTGCAAAGGCAGGAATTACAACCCAGGTCGGAGAAATACTGAAGGGCTGGGGAAGTTATGGGAGGCTGCTGGATTTCATCTTACAGAGAAGTTTTGGAATTAGGGCAAGTGGTTCTTAAACGCGTGAAGAGGATGGAAACAGAATGTGGATGTTCGGCTGAACAGAATTCAGATCAGTAACCTGGGTTCAAGGGAAACTATACACAGGTCGTGTAGGTCAGTGGGTATGATCACAACTGAAAACGGGCCATTTTCAAACTCACTGATTTTCATCTGGTGTTGGCCTGAGGCAACCAAGACAATGACTCACAGGACTGACTTTGACTCAGACAGAATAGAACGCCCCAAAATCAACTTTTGCCCTATTTTTGATAAAGATCATTCACATCACAGATCTGCTCATCTGAATGAGAAAGCAGCATGATTTCAGTCCTCACAAAGAATCAGGATATAATAGATCACATCCTAGTTGTTCAGGGGTTCTGCGGTTGGTTTATTAAAAAAAAAAAAAAAAAATCCAGGGGTCTAATGTCAATAAATCGTTCCTACATCCAAAGAACAATAAGACAAATTCTACCTACCCCACATGTTTACCACCTACCATCTGTAGAAGTTCAGTAACTTCGCAGGAACATTTCGGTAAGTGTCGACAACATCCACAAAAACAATGTCGTCATAGACGCTGCTCTCCTCCCTCAGTAAGGCGTCTTCCCTGTGAAGATTACTTCTGTGGTCAAGAAGTCTTCGAGGGCGAGAATGAAGGTTTTGTAAGAGTGCATCACCTTCTACAAAGGAAAAGTTGAGAGATGGAGAAAGATGCTGTTGCGAATGGAAGACCCAGCATGTGGAACGTTCTGTTGGGTCACACCCTTTCCCCAAGGGACCTAACGGAAAGCAGCTGGGAGGCAGCCGAGCTGGGCACCAGGCCCTCCCGCACCCCGCGGGGATCCACGGGGTCCGCGGCCGCTGTCCCGTGCACAGCGGTCCAGCGGCAGCTGGGCAGGCCGTGGGAGGCCGCAGGTCCGCATCTCATGCTCACAAGGCCGATCCTGGCAGCGCTGTTTGTAACGGGAGGAAGAGAACCAGCCTAAATGCCGCCGCCCCCCCCCCCCCGATGGGAGAGTGGCCAGCCTTTGGGACAGTCATGTAATGGAGGAGAGCAGGCAGAAGAATTAACCTGATCTTGCATGCTCAGAGGAATGGCACTGAAAAATGATGCTGGGGGTGGCGGGGAAGGACCTTTATGTCTACTGATGGATTCAATATGATGCCGTGCACCTCCGTGATAAAATACTCTCCTCAAAACTGCATGTTACTGAAAGATAACGTACATACGTAGCAGAAAGTAGGAAAGTAAGAAAGGGAAGGGTGCACACGAATTTCAGGACAGGGCACCCTCTCTGAGGGGAGGGAGGGACAGGGCCAGACGGCTAGCTGGGACGGGGCTTCACTGTGTCTGTGATGGTTTTTTCTTTAAAAAAGGGAGCAAATATGACAAAATGTAAGCATTTGTTAATTCTGAATAATAAGGGCATGGCTGTTTCTTACAGCGCTCTCTATTTTTGGTATATCTGTGATGTTTCATAATAAAAATGTGCTTAAAGACATCAGTTTACTACCTCACACGTTAATGAATCACTTGTCACATTTGTGCAGGGACTGTCCTCAAATCCTATGGATTTAAGGCAGCCACTTTTTCACTAGGGCAGGATTTTCTCAAACGTCTCACTCAAATTAGAGAAAACGTCTAAAAAATAAAGTGAGTGGCTGAAGGGTGAAGAAACAACAGAGTAGTTTAGCACCCCACCTTCTGGAATGTCAAAGGGAAGGCCTGGGGCCTGTGAGTCAGGAGGCCTAGATCTGATTTCTGCTTCTGCTGCTCTGGGACATGCTGGGCAAGCTGCAGGTTTCTGGGCCTGTATTCTCATCGGGAGGAGGAGGAGGGGGAGGAGTGGGAGGTGGGGGAGGACGACGACATCAGTGGACTGCTTGCTGACATACACATTCCTGCAGCCCAAACCTAAACACTCAGCACGTCTCGGGTGGGCCCAAGACTGTTTTTAACATGTGTCTTCCCAGAACTCTGAGGCAAGTGGACCACAGACGACTACCCTTTGAGAAACACAAGGCTGAATGACCTTGTGTCCCCACCAGCTCTTACATTCTACTGTGATATCCCTTTACTTCAAAGATAAAGTATATACAATTTAACAACTTGAAGGAAAGTGAAAGCGTTTGAAAACTGGAGTAACAGGAGGATGGCTGTAACAAGATGAGAGCAGAAATTAAATATAGGCCTTTCAGATGAACAAATGACACATTTTGTTTTATACTGTATCTGAAAACCAGGAATATAAAGTAATAGATCTGTATTTTAAATCTGATGATCTGTCTAGTTGCTATTAAAAGAATCACAGAGTTTACAGCCTCTCAAAGTTTGGAAGATCATGTCTGTCTAGCGAGCCTGTTAAGATACAGACATCTGAGCTCCACTTCTGAAGATTTTAACTTTGTAGCTTGAGGTAGGGCTCGGACAGAGATGCTAATATCCGACAAAATTTAAGAATTCATGTACAACCAATTCATAGCACTTAGATCCTGATTTTAAAAAATTAATTTATACTGAGATTTGAAGAAGACGATCTATTCATTTTCATTTCTTTAGCCTACAACTTGAGTTATTTCAGTCTTATTTGAAAGAAATCGTCCCTCACCCAAACCTTATTCCTTTAGCCTCCATGACAGAAAAATTGTGACAAGCTTTTGTCCAGGGTACAGGAGCTGCTCCTTGTAGAACAGTTTCGTGACAGAAGTCTCAAGGGTCCCTTAAACTAGTTTTTACAGGCTCCTGGTGGTACATTCAGGAATGAACCAGTAAAAGAAGGGAAGGTGCTGGATGTTCCAGTCAGATGGTGCATTACACCTGCCCCTGGCCCCACACCTGTGCTGCCTTAGGAAGCTGCCTGACCTTCCGAGTTTTCCCCAGGGCTGGGCTACTAGCTAGCTTCTTGGTGAGCTAAGCGGATACCTTCCTTGGCAGACTGGTCTCATAGTTTTATGAAAAATCTCTGGACTGAAATTAACGATCTCTAAATTTTAAATTTCTATTTTTAATGGCAAGTTTATGGGTAAAACCCATGTATCTGTTCCAGGCTACCCTTTCAGGTGATGTAAGAATACAACTACTTCTAGGAGGAAACACTATAAAAATGCTTTCAAAAAAATGAAAAATAAAAAAAGCCACAGTCCTGGGGCACCTGAGTGGCTCAGTGGGTTAGGCGTCTGCCTTCAGCTCAGGTCATGATCCCAGAGTCCTGGGATCGAGCCCTGCATCAGGCACCTGCTCAACACTGCTTCTCCCTCTCCCTCTGCTGCTCTTCCTGCTTGTGCTCCCTCTCTGTCAAATAAATAAATAAAACCTTAAAAAAAAAAAAAAGCCACACTCTATTTGTATCCTCAAACATCATGCAGTGGCTCAAACGGGTGTGCCCCATCCTCAACACCGTGCTGTCAAGGGGGTCCTGGAAGAGTCTCCTCTCAGGGTCTGCTCTGTTTTCCCCAGTCACTGAAAGCCTTCAGGGAAGCTGGGTCCTAATTCTTTTATAGGAATCCATCCTCTGCGGAGCTCTGAGACGTCAAGACAGAAATTCCACTGAGCACCTTTGTTCCCCAGGTGATGTTCAGGACAGGTGGCCAAGAGCAACTGCATCAAGGGTAGTTTTTCTTTCTTAAAGAATTCTCAGGAATTCATAGACAGATATTTAAATAAGCATCATTCAAGAAGACAAACACAGCCACTCCCATCACAACAAAATTCCCTCTAGAGTTCTAAGCTAATGCTCCTGACCCCAAGTTTTAAAGGAATCTAACAAATCCATCCTTGAAATGTGATATATATATATATATATATATTTTAAAGATTTTATTTATTTGACAGAGAGACAGAGAGAGACATAGCGAAAGAGGGAACACAAGCAGAGGGAGTGGGAGAGGGAAAAGCAGACTTTCCCGCGGAGCAGGGAGCCCAATGCGGGGCTCGATCCCAGGACCCTGGGATCATGACCTGAGCCAAAGGCAGCTTAACGACTGAGCCACTCAGCTGCCCCTGAAATGTGATATGTTAGGAGAAGCATTTAAGAAACTGTTCTCTGAAAGATGCAGTCTATGTTTACATATTCACATTATGATGAGAAAGCGTCCACATGAAGCAGAAGGGGAAGTGGAGTCCACTGGGCCACCTCCAACAGCGGGACAGACGCAGGCATCAAAATGCACCACACTTGCTGGGTCAGGGAAGAAAAGGTTCTTCCCTTCTGACTGACCAGCAGCACAAAGCCCACTACAGCTACATGGCCACGGTCTAGCGGTTCTGCGGAAGTCCCCACCTGGCTGCAGGATAAACCAAACATAGCCACACGGGGCCAACAAAGTTCAAGGTCACGGATTTTTCAAGATCACCCGTATGGTGGAAGATTGGATGCTTTCCCTCTAAAAGCGAGAACAAGACAAGGATGTCTGCTCTACCACTTCTACTCAACACTGTACTAGAGAGTCTAACCACGACAGTTAGACAAGAAAGAGCAGTAACAGGCATCCAGATTGGGGGGAAGAGTACAACTATCCCCACTTGTAGATGACATGATCTTGCATATGGAAAATCCTAAGGCACCCACACAACCAGTAACTTAATAAATGAATCCAGCAAAATTGCAGCATATAAGATTGATATATAAAAATCAATTGTATTTCTTTTTTTTAATAATTTTTTTTTATTGTTAACCACCATACATTAATCATTAGTTTTTGATGCAGTGTTCCATGATTCATTGTTTGTGCATAACACCCAGTGCTCCACGCAGAATGTGCCCTCTTTAATACCCATCACCAGGCTAACCCAATCAATTGTATTTCTATACATTAGCAATGAACAATCTAGAAATGAAATGTAAAAACCAATTCCACTTATAATGGCATCAAAAAGAATAAATATTTGGGAATAAACTTAGCAGAAGAAATGTAAGACTTGTACTCTGAAAACCACAAAACATCACTAAAAGGAACTAGTAAGACGTAAGTAAATGGAAGGAGATCCATGTTCATGGATCAGAGACTTACTGTCAGATCGGCAGCACTGCCTGAAATGCTCTACAAGTTCAGGGACAGCCCTTTCAAAATCCCAGCTGGCTTGCTTGCAGAAACTGCCAAGCTGATCCTAAAATTTGTATGGAAATGCAGGACCCAGAAGAGCCAAAACAATCTTGAAAGAGAACAAAGTTGGAGGATTCACACTTCCCAATGTCAAATCCTACTAGAAAGCCACATATTCAAGACGGTGTAGAACTGGTAGAAGGACTGACACACAGATCCAAAGAACACAAGTGGGAGCCCAGAAGTAAGTCCTTACATTCACCGTCAGAAGGGCAGTGAGGAGGTTAATGGTTGGCAGGGGCTGTGGGGGGGAGAATGAGAATAAGTGTCCGCTAACAGACACAGGGTTTCTTTTGGGAGTGATGGAAATGGTCTAGAGTTCGTTGAGATGACTGCAGAACTCTCATATGCTGCGAACCGGGGTAAAGTGTATGTGAATTATGTATCAATAAAGGATATATGTGTCATTTCTTTTTAAATGACAAAAAAAAAAAATCACCTTTTCTGTCAAAGTATGGAGTAAGATTAGGTACATGAGATTCAGTGCGCCCTTCACCTTTCAAGACTTACCCTGAATGATGTAAATAAAACCACCTGCAACCCCCTCCACGCCTTCCATGAATTCGTGAGGCAAGGCACCCTCCCCAGCCTGAAAGCAACAAGAACACAAGTACTCAGTGTTTCATTACTAAAAATACACTTCTTCTATTTTAAAACTGATGTGCCAAAATTTATAATGTGACTCCACAGCAGATAAATCCATCTAAGACGCACACGATCAGGATGACATCAGTATTCTCCTATTTTTGCTATCTGATTGTTCTCTTGATTACTATATTAAAGATCGGGTGCACGTGGCAGTCCATGGTGCTCAGAATTCCAACTGACACAGAATCATAGTCTTGAACTTGCTACCATAATAGTACAAAACCAATTTTATTTTACATCCCAACCCTACCACTTAAAAAAAAAAAGATCACCTTTGATTTCTCGGAGGCTGAAAACTGCCATGAATTCAAATACATCTAGGCACACTTTTAAAGTTTGCTCTACCGCCCAGAGAAAGCCCCTTGCAACAAACCGTTCAGACGGAGCCCTATGCTCGCTGATGCTGTTGAAGGTGCCCACGGCCGGTGACAGTCCTCTCGGCCTCCGAGGATGGGAAGAACTTTTACGATTGGAGATTTACAAGTTCCTCAGTGGGGGGGGTTCCCCTCTGCACGTCCGCGCGACAGCCCCAGCGGCGCCGGGCCCGACCGCACGGGGGTGCGCGTGTGCGGGCGTGTTTCCGTACTCCCCTACCAGCCCGGAGGCGGCCTGGTCCGTCCCCTCGGCAGAGCTGGACTGCACAGAGCAGTTTTAGGGCCGTAGAGAGACTCCGTCCACAGGTGGCAGTGGGGACTTGTAGGCTCAATGTGGAGGAAGCTACCGAAGGCGATGCTAACGTTTCCAGCTTTAAGGAGCCAGGAAAGGTTGTACGCTCTGTTTTTCCATTGTGTACTCTACGTTGTTTTGGCTTACTTAGAACTTGATAGTACTTTTTATTAGCTTCTATCTAAAAGGTCACAGCTGGACTTTTTAAAAGTTTCTGACATTCTCACTTGCTGGCAAGGGAGCAAGACTCGGGGAAACTTTCAGCTTTACGCATTTATGATGGAAACCCTTATTTGTACGTGGGGTTTCCTACAAGGGGCTGCCAAGTTACCGACTATTGTTTAAGGTTTGCTGAGTGTGTAAGCGGTCTTTAGCCCTCTACAACTATATTTACCCCCAAAGTGGATCATTTGAGTCTTTCCATTTGAACCTAGTCCTCAACTCAGGAGTCTGATTTGCTTTTGTGCAGTCAACTTAATAACTACAGAATTCCGGCACATTCTGGATATTTTTAAGTTTCATAAATAGAAAAGGAGGCGACATATTAAAGGCATTTGCCTTGGAAATAAGGAAAGGAAAAAATAAAACTATAATTAAATTTCATAAGACATTCTATGTTAAATAAAGGACTGTTGGTAATAGGGGATGAGATCTTAACTACGACCCATGAGGCTAAGTTTTGTAATTATATATGAATCTGTGATCTAATGTCTTTCTTCCTCACTGGAGTGTAAGTTCCACTGTGGGCCAGGAGTGGTCTTCTAAATGGGTAACAGCATACCACTTAAGGTTCATTTTAAATTCGGGCATTAATTCATGTGAATAAGATGAATAGTTCATGAAAACAGACTAAGCCTGTGAACTGAGATACTAAGCACTCTCCTAATCATTACATCAGAGCATCAAGGAGAATGAGACTGTTTGTGACACTACCATAAACACCTCTTGTGTATTTAAAGCTCACCACTTGAAGTCTGCCTACACCTTATCGTCCCACACTTACTTGGAGATATTTACCCATTAAACTGTTTTTAAATTTGAAGCAAATTTGAATAAATGAAAAATAGGAGATAGAAATCCCAGCAATATAAATGAAAGCGAAAGCTCCATCGTATTTTCCAGTACTGCCGTCTACACTATTTTAACGAACATCCTGCTATAAAGGTGAGGGAGTGAGGATTCTGAATACTACTGAGCCAAGTGTCCTTCCAAATGTTAGCTTAAAAATTACTGAGAAATAAAATATCGCACTTTTTAAAATGCACCAATCTTAAGGCAAAACTGTGTATTTACTAATGCTGGAGTGAGAAAATCACTGAACATTTGAGTTGTTTGTCTTTACTATGGTGACTCAACATTTTCTGCTCTACATGCTCTGAAATACCCAAGATTCATTGTTCCACATTCCCTGGGTTGATGTAAACATAAAGTTAAAAACAGTTTTTCTGTATGAAAAAATGCTAAAGTATGCTGAACAGCCTTAGGAAGAAAGGATGACTTACCGTAATGACTCGGAGAACGCCCCCACCATCATTTACAGTCACTTTGTGGAGATTTCTTGACACAAGGCCTTGGAGGTCTTGGCTCTCCCACACGATGGTACCTTCAAAGCTCTTTTTGCAGAAAGATGAAATGAGTCAATTTCTTTATTGTTGTCATTTAGGCTTTAGGTAAGTTTTTAAAGAAAAATTAATTTTTTTTCAAACATATTGGTTAAAATTTTTATCCCCCTACTCTAACACACACCACTGTTAACATGTTGGTGTATATTCTCGAGTCATTTTTTGTTTCATGCGCATCTGAAAGATGTAAGTACTAAGAGTGCAGAGACAATTTTGCACACTGCTGTTTGCACTTCCCTCTACACTGAAGCATTTCCTGATGCTACCACAGCTCGTATGACCATCTGCCACACACACCTAACTAACATGCCATCGAGGGTGTGCATCCCAAGTCACACAAACACTTGCCCACAGGCAGATCTGAACTCTACCAACTATCTAATGAAGCATGTTTTGGTGTAAATGTTTATTTTGTTTCAAAATACACTTTCAGAGGTGAAATTATGGTGACAAGAAAGAAACAGAGATATTTTATACGGATTTTGGGACACAATGCCAAACTGTTTTTTCAAAAGGAAATTATCTAATTTCCCAATTTAGAAAAATACTACTTGCATTGTGTTCTTCCAAGTATGGGATGAAAGCAAAGACTTAAGTTTAAGTCAATTTAGATTAAAAAATGATTCCTCATTTAATTGTGTTTCTTTTGATTTCTAATGATGTTTATAAATTATATAGTCTTTCCTGGGAATTACTGACCCATGCTTCTTTGCCATTTAGCTGAGTTTTCCTATTTTTCTTATTAATCTATGTTATCTTGTAATAAATAATTCTTTGTATATACTATATTCTAAAATACTTTTTTCAGAATTGTTTGTTTTTTTTTTTTTTTTTTTTACTTAAAAGCTCCATCATAAGTTTTATCCTGTCAAATCTGACAAGCTTTTTGTTTGTGATTACTATTAAGTTCTGGGCTTAGAAAGTTACACTCCATGCCCGAAGGTTTGACACACATTTAAATTCTAGTGTCTTCTAATTTCTCCATGGGGGCTCAGCTGCTCCTTTGTGCTGCTCGGGCCATCCCCACTGTCAGCCCCTCTGGCTTGCTCCAGAGATCCAACAGAAGGCAGCTGGCATCCAATTCTTCTCTATCACATCAGCCTGTCTTCTTTTCCTAAAATCACTTATCACTCTGATACTTCCTGTTTATTTTCCTATTGTCAAACCAACTTTTCCCACTAGAACGCAAGCACCATGAGAGCAGGGATTTTGTCTGTCTTATTGACCACCATATCCCCGGCACCTAGAATGGCCTGATATGCATAACAGGCACTTGAAAAATATTTACTTAATAATGTTAAACTCAAAATTAATTGGAATGATTTTTGGTCTAGAACACCAGAACAGCTTTAATATTCTTTAAAAATTTTCACATACTAAAATTAAGAGATAAAGCACTGTACAGTAACTGAGGTGAGCCAGCATTATAAGGACACTATACAAAATTGAACTTGTCCAGTAAGCGAGGCCAGTGGTTTGCAAGCTTTTTGTAAAGCATTACAACTTTTCTACGAAACAGATAAAAACACTAAGAGTCGGGATTCTTCAGGCAGTCTGTCACCTTATATTCAGCTAATGGATCCTTAGTCTGCACTGCTCCTGATGCGCTTTGAGGAGCCCCCGAGTTCCTAAGGGCAGGCGTCACAGATTCACTGTGGGTGGTCACTGCCTGACCTGGAGCACAGAGAAAGCGACACCTACCTCACGGGGCTGGGCCGGGGGTTAATGATGACATGTGTGCGGCATGCAGGGTCTTTGCTCAGTGAAACAGAGCTTTATGACCGCTAGAAGTAATGCAGAAAGTGAACGCCCCCTTTAAAAGATCTCGTTGTCTTATCTTGGAAATGGGTGCTGATTATTTTTTTTTTTAAGACTTTTTATTTATATTTTGACAGAGAGAGAGAGAGACAGCGAGAGAGGGAACACAAGCAGGGGGAGTGGGAGAGGGAGAAGCAGGCTCCCCGCCGAGCAGGGAGCCCGATGCAGGGCTCGATCCCAGGACCCAGGGATCATGACCTGAGCTGAAGGCAGTCGCTTAACAACTGAGCCACCCAGGCGCCCCAGGCAGTGATTATTTCTATACTCTCCTTGGAAAGCCTTAACTCTCTAGTCTACTTGACATTGAACCTCAATTCCCTAAAACATTCTTACAGATGTATGCCCAGAAGAAGAAAAAAAAAGCCTAGGGAGAAATATACCAAATATGCTGGGAAACATGTGGATATCATATTCCTCTAACCTTTCCATACGTAGTCAAGTTTTCAACAGTGGATATGTATTCCTTTCACATATTTTCATACTTTCATGATCACGAAAAAAAATTTTTAAACATATGTATACAACAAAATAAATTTGGGGTCAATCTTCTTCCAGACAGGAGGCGTTATTTAAACTTCTGAGTGTCTACTATGTAGCAGGCTGTGGGCTACTCGAAGATTTTTAAAAGGGTCAAATAGCTCCTATCTTCAAATCCTCGTAATAAACCCTGCTAGGGTCAGTAACAAAGGAAAGGGGCCTGAGGAGGAGAGCCAGAATTTCAGCTGACTGTGAGAATGGAGCAGAGTCTTGCAGGCATCTGAGTCAGGAAAGGGAGAGGCAGACGAAAGCACTCATCAAAAGGCAGATGGAAGTGCACTGCACGTTCAGAAAAGTGTGAAGCAGTTTAGTGCTGCCTAAGCCCCAGGCTGAGGAAAGGAGACGTGGAAGGTAGGCTCCTGTCAGCACTGCCTGCCGGAATAGAGAGTCTGTCCTCCATCTGGAAGGCGGGGGAAGCACTTCCGTTTGCAAGCACAAGAGTGACGCAATCCTAGCTGCAATTTTAAAAGGTCACTCCAGTAGCAGAACGGCATAAGGCAGGCTGGTAGGGAGAGTGGTAACTGGACTATTACAGAGGTCCAGGTGAGAAGAAGCAAGCACTTTATTGAAGCTCATAGATTGAAAGTAATATTATTAAAATGTCCATACTACTCAAAGCAATCTATAGATTCGATATAATCTCTATCAAAATTCCAATGGTGTTTTCGTAGAAATACAATAAAGTACTACTAAAATCTGTATGGAACCACAGAAGACCCCCAAATAGCCAAAGCAACTGTAAGAACAACAAAGCTGGAGGCATCATGCTTCCTGATTTCAAACTATATTACAAAGCTACTGAAAACAAAACAGTATACTATTGGCATAAAAACTGACACATAGATCAATAGAACAGAAGAGAAAGTCCAGAAACAAACCCATGCACATACGGTCAATTCATTTACAAGAGAGGAGGCAAGAATATACATGAGAAGGACAGTCTTTGCAACAAATGGTGTTGGGAAAACTGGACAGCCACATGCAAGGAATGAACCTGGACCACTACCTTACGCCATACACAAAGATCAACTCAAAATGGGTAAAAGACCTGACACTATAAAACTCCTAGAATAAAACCTAGATGGTAAGTTCCCTGACACTGGTCTTGGCAATGATTTTTTGGATTTGACACCAAAAGCAAAGGCAACAGAAAATAAACAAATGGGACTACATCGAACCAAAAAGCTTCTGCACAGCAAAGGAAACCATCAGCAAAATGAAAAGGCAACCTATGAATGGGAAAAAATATTTGCAAATGATATACCTGACAAGGAGTTACTATCCAAACATATACAGAACTCCCACAACTCAAAAGCAAAAACCAACAATCCAACTGAAAGATGGGCAGAGGATCTGAATAGACATGTTTCCAAAGACAACACACACATGGTCAACAGGTACATGAAAAGATGCTCACCATCACTCATCATCAGGGAAATGCAAATCAAAACCACAATGAGAGACCACCTCACACCTGTCAGAATGGTGACTACAATCAGAAAGACAAGAAATAAGTGTGCTGACAAGGATGTGCTGAAAAGGGAATCCTTGTGCACTCCTGGTGGGAACGGAAACCGCTGTAGCCATTGTGGAAAACAGTATGGAGGGTCCTCAAAAAATTAAAAATAGAATTACCATATGATCCAGCAACTCCACTTCTAAGTATTTAGCCGAAGGAAATGAAAACACTCACTTGAAAAGACATCTGTGCCCTCTTGTTCACTGCGGCATGTTTACAATAGCCACCATGTGGACACAACCTGAACGTCCACGGATGGATGGATGAAGATGTGATGCAAACACACACACACACACACACACACACACACAATATTATTCAGCCATAAAAAGGAAGGAAACCTTGCCATTTCCAACATGGATGGACCTTGAGGGCATTATGCTAAGTGAAATCAGTCAGAGAAAGACAAATACCATATGATTTCACTCATACGTGGAATCTAAAACATTTTTAAAAGCCAAAAAACAAAACACTGAACTCTTAGATATCAAGATCAGATGGGTGGTTGCCAGAGCTGGGGACTGGGGGGCTGGGTGAAATGGGTGAAGAGGGTGAAAAGGTACAAATTTCCAGCTGTGAAATGCTAAGTCCTGGGGATATCATGTACAGCGTGGTATGTTAATAACGCTGTGCTGTGTATCTGAAAGTTGCTAAGTGAGTAGATCTTAAAAGTTCTCATCACAAGAAAAGAAATGTAACTGTGTGGTGATGGATGTTAACTAGACTCAACGTGATCATTCTGCAATATTGAATCATTATGTTGTACACCTAAAAGGAATATGTTATATGTCAATTATATCTCAATAAAAAAAGAAAGGAAAAAAAAAAGACTGCCTTCTGAGTTGAACTAATTAAATGCGTACATTAAAGGGAACAATGTCTCTAATAACTGAGAAGAGCTTTGAGATTGAAGCTTAATTAGTAAACTCACTACCTTAAAACAAAATATCAAGTGGCCACTACACAAAAGCTGGGTTAAGAGAGAAATCCGGGCAATGGAACAATGTCCAGTGGGAGAAAGACGCAGGAAGGGAAGATAGAAAGCATTCTAGTCACATCCCACCTGAATGAGGCAGCTCTCTAAAACAAACACATCCCACTCCTATAAGCAAATTCA